AAAAAAAAAAATCAGTTAACGTTTCAGGTCCAAAATGTTAATTTTGATTTTTTTCTTCACAGATGTTGCCAGACCTGCTGAGCTTCTCCAGCAACTTCTGTTTTTGTTTCTGATTTAAGCATCTGCAGTTCTTTTGGTTTTTATTTGCAAAATATCACTTGCCATTTTTAAAAGCAAATTATATTTAGAAAAATCACCGAATGAATATCTGCAGTTATATTAAATGGTATAACTAGTTAAAGCTATAAATTCAATACTGCATCTCCCCAGACTAGTTTTAATGACTCACCCGCCTGTGTATAGCCAGAAAAAAAACTCACCAACCACTCACTTAGATTACTCCCCAACCCCTCTTTCCTAATTCCCAAGCTTAAACTCTATTGTGATCTGGACTTAGTCACAAACTGCTACCTTTCTGCCTGTTCCACTCATTCCTTATCCAACCCCTAACTGCACCTATTCAAAGTTAAAGTTCTAAACTGGAGAAAGGCCAATTTTGACAGTATTCGACAAGAACTTGCAAAAGTTGATGGGGGAGGAGTGCGGATGTTTGCAGGTAAAGGGATGGCTGGAAAATGGGAGGGTTACTTTAAGCATGCATTAACCATGCATAAACATTTCTATTCATATGAAACTACTCCTCCTGCGACCAAAATGAAGAAGTGATAATAAATACATTTGGCACAGTAAATGTGATATTCTTCTGGTTCTACTAACACAAAACTGTAACAGTTTACTCTATTTAGAGCATTTGAAAGCTACAGTAGTGCAAAAATACTTTTCTTGCTCAGACAGTGTATGGATGGGACACTTTTATAACCTTCATCAACATATGCTACCTGGGTCAATTGCAGAATAGGCACCATTATTCTGTCTCATGGCAACTGATAGTGAGATGATATTGAGATGGTCTCTTAAGAGGGGTACTAGTCAGATTCCAGTTGGGAGTGACAATAAAATTACTGGAGTATCCACTGCTCATGGAAGGAAGAAAAAATGTGCAATCTGACATTCCTTTAAAATATATATTTCTTTAATGAACAAAGATTTCTAAATTACTTGCCTGGAAGCAGAAGAGACATATGGAATATATAACATAATCATCCCTAGAGGCACTTGCCGCAGGAAGTACAGTGGTCATGTCATAAATGCCAAGACTGAAAAACAGGAAAAATCCAAGTAGATGACTCCAAATATTCACCGTCTCATTAGAAAGGATGAAAAGACTGTAGAAAAAAGTATCATATTATTGCAATGTAAAATACAAGTGCAATTATTTGAGTTAAAAACAACAATTTCCTAAATCAAAAACATATTGCTGGAGAAACTCAGTAGGTTTGAAAGCATCTGTGGGAAGAAAGCAGAGTTTACATTTTGTGTCCAGTGACTCTTCTTCAGAACTTGCTGAATTTCTCCAGCAGTTTCTGCTATTTTGGTCTCAGATCTCCAGCATCTGCGGTTCTTTGTTTTAATTTTTTAAATCCTCTGGAGAGGTAAGTAAAATATCTTCGCACACATGGTAACATTTTGTACATTTATCATTTCAGATACATTGCATTTATCAAGTTTCTAATAAATAATATTTTCATGATTGGCACCAGATCTTTAATACTTCCAGATTAGTTAATAAAATGCAGTTTACAATTTTGTTTGAGGGATAATGATTGAATTGTATTCTGGAAATACATTTCGATACAAAACATGTATAAAAACTAATATAAAAAGGAAGAACTTACTTATTTCAATTTATAATTTACCTTTTCAAGCATAATTTTGAAGGTAGATAAGCTCTATATCCATCTGTAATGTAAGGATTATCCTTAAGGAAGGATGGAATTTGTTCATACGTGTACAGGCGGATGCCTCGTGGTACAAGAACAGGCCAATATTGGTAGTTTCCTAATTCAATATAGTGGGCACTTTTAAGCAACTTCTGAGGCATGGTGCTGGAAATTACGGAGAAATGTAAAAAAACACATCAGGATTTTATAACAGATGATGAATGTATGATTAAACCAATAAGATCCATTTAACAACACCATATGAGTGATTAAAGGCTGCTCCATTTGATTAAAAAAAGGTAGTTTCATAAAATTACAAGAATCTCCATTAGGCATCTGTTTTACACACATTAGCAAATATTCAGTAATACTTTTCACCTGGACATATTTTATCTTATTTAAAATCGACATTGTGCAAACATGCTAGACGGTGCTGCAATCTTATATGTTATAAGCTTGAATATTTCCTAATGATATAAACTAGTGATATTTCTTACCTTACGCTTACGAAAATTAGTTCAACAAAGTAAATGTTCCATCGAGAAACGCTCCATCAAGTGTATATAAAACTGCTCAAAAACAACCCATTGTAAATTATTTAAACAACGTTTTTAAAATCAAGTCCCACGACAACTTCTCTGAGGGAGTTAACGCTGTCAGTCAGAGTCCACAGCAAGACTTTCTAACCCACCCTCTCAGCATGACTCCACCTTCAACCGCCAGTGAAAGCTGAGAGGCTGACCGATAACTAATTACCCGGGGCGAGGGAAACCTGCCGGGACTGACTTATTAACCAGTTGGTGCCGTCACCCGTCCGTTTGGAAATGGGGAAAGTTTCACCCGGTATTTCACAGACCCCGCCGCCGAGACATCGTCACCCGGAGGGAGGGACAGGGGCTGGGAGTGAGTGAGGGCCGGGAGCGGGGACAGAGACAGATGGTGACAGTGAGGGCCGAGAGCGGGGACAGACGGTGACAGTGAGGGCCAGGGCCGGGGCCGGGACAGGGAGCGGGGAGCGGGGAGCGGGGACAGAGGGTGACAGTGAGGGCCGGGGCCGGGGACAGAGACAGAGGGTGACAGTGAGGGCCGGAGCCGGGGCCGGGAGCGGGGACGGGGATGAGGACAGACGGTGACAGTGAGGGCCGGGGCCGGGGCCGGGGACGGGGACAGACGGTGACAGTGAGGGCCGGGAGCGGGGACCGGGGACAGACGGTGACAGTGAGGGCCGGGAGCGGGGACCGGGGACAGACGGTGAAGACCAGGCCCAGGCCTTGAACCGGATACAGTTCATGTGGGGACTTCCGGCTAAACGGTTCTACCCCCGGGAGCAGGGGTAGGCGGGGGGAGAACCATCGATCAGACCCCAGGGGGGTGGGGGTCAGGGGTCAGTGGATCAGATCCTGGGAGGTGGGGTTAAGGTTCACCCTCGGTCAGACCCGGGGGTCGGGGGTCAGGGGTTACTGGATCAAACCCTGGGGGGAGCGTCCTCGACACCTGATCGCTATTTCATCGCTTTCTTCATTGACTCTGTTTAAGAAATGGCACAAAAAATATTTTCTTTGATGATTTGTATGACCTCAGAATTTTTTTCTCTGAAACGTTGCTGTCACCAAGTTTAGGTTGCCTGGCCTGTTATTCACCCTTTTTCATTATGGTACGTCTGTCCTTTAGTCTTCTGCACCATGCTTCCAGCCAGTACAATCTGAGAAATGTTTCGGGCCTAGACCCTTCATCAGATTCTAGGCCCGAAACGTCAGCCTCTCTGCTCCTATGATGCTGCTTGGCCTGCTGTGTTCATCCAGCCCTGCACCTTGTTATCTCGGATTCTCCAGCATCTGCAGTTCCTACTATCTCACAATCTGAGAAATAACGTTAGAATTTCCTTCGTTTCTTCCCAACTCTCTCCGTGACTCCCTTGTCCGCTCCACACTCCCCTCCAGCTCCACCACACCCGGCACTTTTCCCTGCAACCGCAGGAAGTGCTACACCTGCCCCCATACCTCCTCCCTCACCCCCATCCCAGGCCCCAAGAAGACTTTCCACATCAAGCAGATGTTCACCTGCACATCTGCCAATGTGGTATACTGCATCCGCTGTACCCGGTGTGGCTTCCTCTACATCGGGGAAACCAAGCGGAGGCTCGGGGACCGCTTTGCAGAACACCTACGCTCGGTTCGCAATAAACAACTGCACCTCCCAGTCGCGAACCATTTCAACTCCCCCTCCCATTCCTCAGACGACATGTCCATCCTGGACCTCCTGCAGTGCCACAACGATGCCACCCGAAGGTTGCTGGAACAGCAACTCATATTCCGCTTGGGAACCCTGCAGCCCAATGGTATCAATGTGGATTTCACAAGTTTCAAAATCTCCCCTCCCTACCGCATCCCAAAACCAGTCCAGCTCGTCCCTGCCTCCCTAACCTGTTCTTCCTCCCACCTATCCCCTCCTCCCACCTCAAGCCGCACCTCCATCTCCTACCGACCAACCTCATCCCGCCCCCTTGACCTGTCCGTCCTCCCTGGACTGACCTATCCCCTTCCTAACTCCCTACCTACACTCACCTTTACTGGCTCCATCCCCGCCTCTTCGACCTGTTTGTTTCCTCTCTTCTATCCGCCTCCCACTCTCTCCCTATTTATTTCAGAACCCCCTTCCCCTCCCCCTTTTCTGATGAAGGGTCTAGGCCCGAAACGTCAGCCTCTCTGCTCCTGTGATGCTGCTTGGCCTGCTGTGTTCATCCAGCCCTGCACCTTGTTGTCTTGGAACAAAACACATCCCAGGAAGACCACACATGACACAAGAGGCCAAACTCCTGGAGGATTCTGGGACAGTTTGACATCCTGTCCCACCCCTCCTCAACTATGTAATATTAACTTTGTCACTCTCTTGTGAAAACAGAAGTAAAATATTCATGAAAAACAATGCTCACATCTTCCACCTTTTTCATGTAAATTACTTCAATGACTTCCAAATACACATACTCTTTCTCTTATTCCTGCCTGAGGGGTTTCACAGTTTCCAGTCCCATGGTGTATTATGGCTGAAAGGCCTTAAATTTCCCTTTTCCACATTGCCCTTTAATGACGATTGCCTCAAGCTTTAACTCATCCTTCAGCATGAGGTCCTGGACCTTGGAATGTGTCGGTCTGCAAAACTTGGTTGAAGACAACTTTTTGTACTGGAAGACCAGCAAGTTTCAAAAACACTAAACAGCAACTTTAACGAAGTTTATTGTCCTCCAATCACAGTTGATGTTTGTCTCAGTTTAGGTCCCTGTAAATAGCCCATGAAACAAGAGTTATAGAGTCATACAACATGGAAACAGACTCTGTGGTTCAACTAGTCCATGCCCACCATGTCTCTCAAATTAAACTAGTCCCACTTGCCTGCATTTGGCCCATATCCCTCTAAACCTTTCATATTCATGTACATATGCAAATGTCTTAAATGTTGTAACTGCGCCTGCATCTACCACTTCCTCTGGCAATTCATTCCACACACTAACCACCCTCTGTGTGAAAAGGTCACCCCTCGGGTCCCTTTTAAATCTTTCTCCTCTCACCTTAAAAATATGTCCCCTAGTTCTGGACTCATCCACCCTGGGGAAAAGACCTTTGGTATTCACGTTATCAATGCCCCTCATGATTTTATAAACATCTATAAGGTCAGCCCTCAACCTCCTATTCTCCAGTGAAAAAAGTTCTAGTCTATCCTTATAACTCAAACCCTCCAGTCCCAGCAACAGTGTGGGAAATCCTCTCTGAACCCTCTCCAATTTAGTATTATCCTTCCTACAGCAGGTCGATGATGTTTGGTGTGAACCTTGTCAGAAACCACTACATCTTCTCCAGACTTCCTAAAACCACATTCCAGCAGGAGGTGGACAATAGTGTCATCCAAAGTAACCCACCTTGAGGAGACCATGTATAGGAGGTGAAATCCAAGTATATATCCAAGGATCTAAAGACAAAAGCCTTTCGCATTACCGGCCAGGTTATAAATATATCTGAGTACTTGTTTGAAAGTTTTGCTAATAAGGCATTCTGCAAAAGATTTAACAGTCTACTCAGGGAATAATTTTATAGAATCTTCATTTCCTTTTCCACAATACCTGTAGGACATTATATGACGATCAATGTTGGTCAAAAATGCTTTTTTTTAAAGCATAAGATCTCTACGCGAAGAATAGGTAATACTGCATGGCCAAATTGTTTGCAGAGCTTTACGGCACTGCCCAGACTCATTTTTGCAAAACCAGGGACAGGTAGAACCTCAGCATGTGTAACACTCAGTGTGTGTACACTATGGCTCTATATACAGATTGATGCAGCTCCACACCGATGAGGACAGTGTTTGGGACTTTTTTGTTTTACCTGATTAGCAGTTTGTGTATCATGTTCCTTTGAAAATGGTCCAAATTTGACAGAATCAATACAGTCTGGAGCTGGAGGAACACAGCAGCCCAGGGAGCATCAGAGGAGCAGGAAAGTTGACGGTTCAGGTCGGGACCCTTCATCAGGACTGACGAGGGGGAAGGGAGCTCAGAAATAAATCGAGGGACGGGGCTGGGGCTGGGTGAAGGCAGGTGGGGTGGTGATAGGTGGATGCAGGTAAGAAGTTGTGGAGATTGGTCAATGGGAAGGGTGGGACAGATAGGTGAGAAGAAAGATGGACAGGTTGTGTCAAGTGAAGGAGGCGGGGATGAGAGGGAGGGCTGGACATGGGATGACTCTGGGGGCGGGGAGATTTTGAAGCTAGTGAATTCTACGTTGAGGCCATTGGGCTGTGAGCTCCCGAGACTCTACATGTGATGTGGCTGAGGTGGAAGAGAGTTCTGGTGATTGCCTCACAGCAAGAGTGGGAATGGATCAGACCTGTGCCATGTACACATGCATCATCAAGATAGCCTTGAATCTTATGGCCAGTACTCACCTGTAACAGAGAGAGAGGATCTCTCGTTCATGTCCAGTTTTTGTTTTGCATTAACTATTACTCCTTATAAATTTTAACCACACACCACGGATCTTCCAAACTATTTCCCCAGTACCTTCAAGTGGTTTGACTTGATGGTGATAGGGACAATTATTTGATCCAGTTCCCAATGAATATGCAACAAGGATCTTTATATTCATTACTTCAAAAAATATATTGTAATCATTATTTTAAAAATACACTACCATACATTTGGGTTTGAATATACAGAATTTGCAATAAAATTGACTTGTCTCCATGCAGCATGTTCCATTCTTAGATGCCTCAATGTAATTGCAATAATCTTAACATTTATAACATATTACATGCAATTTTTAAATTGGAAATTAACAGAAGTTCAATAGAAATAAACATTTCTTGATACACCCAGTCTAAGGTGCCTCAATACCATTTCAATAAGCTTGGCGTCCACAAAGCCAGAAGGTTGTTATAGTTTCCAGCTCTTCAGTGTACCATAGCTGAAGGCCTTAGATAGCTACCTCTCCCTATTGTCCCTCTGCATTTGCTGCCCCAAACTTTAGCGCATTCCCCAGCACTTTGTTCTGGACCTTGGAATGTGCCAGAATGCAACACTGTGTCAACATCAAGGCTTTACATTGAATGACTAAATTTTGGAGAGGGCATAGAGCATCTTTTGTTGACTTGATGGTCCTCATGGCACAGTTAATATTTGTGACTCCCTGTTGAGCAGAGTCCTGCGTCATGGAGCTGATCAAGTTAAACCTCAACAAAACCATTGAATCTCTCTCCAGACCTTCTTTGCAAAACCACATTCCAGCTGGAGATGGAGAGGTTATTTTTTTCTCACAGTAGCCGCCTTGTGGACAATATGAGGAGTAGGTAGGACTCCAGGCATGTAGGAAGGATCTGACACAAAGGGTCTTTCTCATAGCCAGCCAAGCTGTCCCTTGGTCCTTGAACATTTTGCTGATGAGGTATCCTGTCTAATGACTTTGACAGTCTGCTTGGGAAACCATCCATCAGGCCTGCCATCACCTTTTCCCACAGTGTCTTGAGGACATTATATGTTGACCACTGCCTAATAGAGTTGTGGTCAAAGGTATTTTTTGGCATAAACCTCTCAGTGGGGGACAGGTGTTACTATACAGACCAACTACTTGGAGCACTCCATGTTAATGTTGCCAGAACGATCCTTCACAATACCAGGGACAGATGGAACCACAGCTTAGTGCCACTTAGTGTTTGCTTTCTGAGTACCTACATACAATTTGATGAGCTACACACGAAGGTAGCCATCAGGATGAAGATAATGTTGGGTAAAATTTTTTTTCCCCTTTAAATAACAGGTTGTACATCGTGACCCTGCAAAAATGACCCATTTTCAACAACAGTTGGA